TTGGGCTGGTTCAATTGTTTCTTGATCCTTAACCTCAAGGTTGTCTTTATGAAGTAATTCAGTGCCTTCAGTGAAGGCACGATGCCTATCAATTAGGTAATTCGACTCTACAACCTCCGCAGCGTGCGCATGAACGGATTTATGGAGTGCTTGACGTTTGTCAAGTGGTGCCACTGCATCTAACTTGCTAGCCTGGATTTTTCTACAATCCATTAATCTGATTTTAAGATCTTCCGGGAAACCCATCATCTAAATATTCTTAATTTTCAACCTTGTCAATTTAAAGAGTTTCATTAACTATCAAGATAATAGATGTGTTTCTAACCTATAAAAAAAATTGTACCTTATATCCCTTCATTTGATAAATATTCTTCATATTCAGGGGCTCATTCTTCCCATTGTGGAAAATCGGATCAGACTGGTTACAGGGAATATTTTGACCTCTGAGAAAACTCATCAAAATGTGGGAATAATTTTCAACCAATCTCATTAAATGTTTGGGAAATAGTAATGGAGGGGATTTTCCAGTTTTCCCCTTCTTGGTAGTACACATCCTGAACATAATCATATTCAAACTGTGAATTCAGATTGCAAAGATATAGGAATTAGATAATCAGAGTTAGCTCAAATTTGAAATTAAAGATGTACACAAACGGGGCACTGAATTCATATCATGTTGGGGTCACCAATTTAGCTACGCTCAGGTTAATAAGACCCAGTTGTAATAAAGTAATTAATTTGATATGTTTAGAAAGGTACAAAAACTTACTCATTAACAAGAATGACGCTGTGGTTGGATAGAGTTGGGTGATCTTGTTTGCTAAGAAGGTCATCATGGGATATGAAGTTTGCCACCTCTGAACGCTGTCCATTAAACATGACCGTTGCAACTGCCAGCTGAATTGAAACATCTCTGAGCAGGCTGTGGGGGGTTTGACTCTCCTGTAGATCTGTATGAAGAGTTTTAACGGTTTGGGTGAGAGTGTTGTAGTTGTCTGAAGCAAAATAGTTTCCAACAATCTGTACGATATCTGCGTATTTGCTTGGATTTAGACCTTCTTTAACCGTCCGGTTGATCTCGGAGGAATTGAGGATATACTTCTTGCATGTTGCCACCATGTTTGAAATAAGGTTTATCTCCTTGTCCATGTCATTTTTCCATATTTCTCTTCTTGCCATCAGGTAAGCATCTTCACCGGTATAAAGAAAATAACTCCTGAATGTTTCACATATTTCAGGAAACTAATGGTGCTGTTTATCCTCATCCCTTGTGTCACTGGGTTATCTTTCGCATCGTTAATCCACTTGTTGATTAGGTTGGATATTCGGCACGTAGGCCACTTTATATCGGCCAGATCGTAGTCGTTCTCCGCGCAATATTGATAAAGGGAGTGTTCTCCCGTGAAAAGGTTGTTAGCATACTGTTTTATAGTACTATCGGACTTATGAGTCCCTTTTCCGCCCAGTCTACGCAATTCGGACCATGTCGCAATATAGTCGTTCTTTAATTCAATTAAACTGTGACACGGAATATCAACTGCCGGATAGTCAGTATCCACAAATTTCTCCAACTCTTCAACGAGGAGGGATTTTTTCTCTTTGGTTAACCTGTGGAGGAATCGCATGGCTTTCAATGTAACTGAGTAGGTTATCTCTAATACCTTGGATCACAAAGGGGTCGGAAGTGAATACGAGTCTTCCAACGTCTTACCTCTCCCTCATGTTGACATACCTCTCCCACAGGAGAACTCTGAACAATAATATAGTTATATTCAAATACTTTAAATAGATAAGATGTTAAGATTGATCAATCAATTATTTAATAATTAACCTCTTCTTCTATATCCGCTAGAACCTTTCTGCACACACTACTCCTTTGGGATAGGACACGCCTCAGAGTGGAAGCCAGGGGGGGACCTCCTTGGAGTTGTGAAGAAAGAGTTGACGAGGTTATCTGGAGTCGTCTCCAGCCAATTCTGAATCTCATCGCAGCAAGTTTCAAATTCCTATTCAGGAATTGAACATGAGTAAACATCAGAATGATGTGTCTTAAAGAAAACTTCGTTGAGGTCAAAGAGATCACCTACAACATCTTTACAAGGGGAGTCTTCCAGGGAGACACTCCCACTTGTCTCCAGTTTAAGATGTACCATGTCCAAAATTCCGATATTCTTCAAGAATTGTTTTTTAAACGTACCATACTTCGCCGGTTTCTTATAACCCTTACACTGAAAAAAAAAGTTTGATTTTATCTGTATTATATCCATGAAACAAGGGTTTCATTCTCAGATTTTAAACTGTATTAATAACATGTTTTTAGTAATGTTTTTGTTTAGGTTGCAAAAATATTTCTTACCCCAAATAGGATATGAAATCCTAAATGTCTGATCTTAGTTTGAATTGTGTCGAATGCGAGTGTCGACATTGTTATCTAGCACATGAACTACTCTGAAAGTAATAACCCTAATCATTTCAGAACAATTTGTCTCAGTTTGTTACAAAATGTTACAAAATAAATAAAGTAATGAAATGAAAAAACAATAGGATAAGGTTAAAAAAAACCACAATAAACACAAAAACACAAATAATTTTCAACAATTTAGGTTAGGTTCACCATCGTCTTCAGAAAACACATTAACTTGAAATAATGTTCCTTTAAGACACATCTCCAGAAAGCACATTAACTTGAAATAATGTTCCTTTAAGACACATCTCCAAAAAACACATTAACTTGAAATATTGTTCCTTTAGGACACATCTCCAGAAAACATAGTCTGAATATTTTATAAATTTTAGTTCTATTCATAAAATATATATATGTATATAGTATATATATGTATTTGTATGTATATAATATATATAACAGAAAAATATATCAAGAAAAGTTGCCGCGTATATATGTGAATATCTGTATGTATATTTTTATTATTGTTATTATTATTAATATTGTTATTCAACTCAGCTTTTAAAATTAGTTACATTGATGAAAATAAAGAACATATTGATATAATCAGATACTGTAAATGTACAGTATACAGCTATGATTTTACAGAAACGACAGTGGCCGATGGTGAGGCCTCTTGTTTTTCATGTCTAACCTTAGCAAAGACTAAATGTATATGTATATTTTTATTATTGTTATTATTTATCTATAGTTATTATTTTTATTACTTTTATTTTTTTATTATACTTACTAAATAAACCAGGTCCTAGGCTTCCAGGTTTCAGGTTCACTGAGTCTGTTCTAAATATACATGATTATATTATATTATATTATTTCATATACTTTTTAAGACTTTAAGTTAAAAAGATTGAAGTATTTAGTAGTTATACTCACATTTTGAACAAGTTTGGTTATCAGGAAAAGATCCAGGTTACATGAGTCAGTTCTAAATATACATGATTATAGGTTTATTATATTATTTTATATACTTTATATAGATTAGTATCAAGATTAGCCTACTTTAAGACTTTAAGAGATCTGGTTAAAAAGATTGAAGTATTTAGTTTTTGTACTCACATATAAGATAAAATTGTAGGTCCTTTGAGGTTTCCTCAATCATGGTTAAGGTTATCTGAAATGAATCAGAAGAGTGGATCAATCAGATCACCATCAAGGTAAATTACTTCTTATCAGAATACTGCTTCAAAGCCAGGTAAGTTTTATACTTTCTGTACTCTTCCAGAGCAATCAACTCATGATTAGAAAGAAACATGGCCCTGCAGGGGGGGGGATCATCCCTAGGCTTTTCGGGAGCAGCCTTGGCAAGCATATCCTTCTCTGCGGCTTCATGCAGCATCTCACACTATGGAGTGTGCATGAAAATCATGGCCTGCTCTTTGGTCATACGGATATCCAACTCCACATGGATGAATGCGGTTATAGCAGCAGCTAGATGAAGGGTCTTACCACCCTTTCCCTTCCAGTGATGATGGGAGAGGATGTAGTAATCCATTATACCCATGTTCCCTATATGATTATTAGATAAGGTATATTGTAAAAGTTATATATCTATAAGTTTATATCTAGTTATAACTCATTAAAATATTCTCATGTTGTTTGTNTGTAGTGTAGTGTAGTGTAGTGTAGTGTAGTGTAGTGTAGTGTATTGTAGTGTATCCCTGCTACGAAGAATGTCACCTAATCCAATCACATTGCTGGGAATTACAATTTCATATATTTCCCATGGAATAAACGTTCCCTGATTGGAGGAGACCTTCTGGGCCAGCTTCTTTTCAATGAGGGCCCTCAACTATGATAGCACATGAAAATGAGTCATCCTCATGCAGGCCAGGAAGGAGTGCTCTAAGAACAAAGTGAAGAAAAGCAAAGTTGTAGAGGAAGGTAAGATCTACTTACACACCAAAATTTGGACCTCTAGGTTGACCGGCAGCTGAGAAATCGGCCGCCGATTTCTCAAAAAAGTACGAATTTTGAAACGCGATTTGCGGCATGAAGACGACCTCCAATTGCAATGACTTATAAATACAAAATTGTAGCCAGTATAAAAAAATGGTGGGCGTTGCAAAAAATCAGACCTCTAGCTCTAAAAATACGGCCTCCAGAGCCTCGGGAGCATTCGGTGGTTGGAGGCTGTATCTCCCTCTGTTTTTGAGCTATCAAAAAACCGAAACCAGTTTTAGATTCCTCTACTCCAGTTGATTTAAAAAAAAATGTGTAAAAACGTCAAAAATGACGATTTTATAACAAAAAAAAAAGAACCACAGATTCAGAGATTGACTTGACTAATCACCATGAAGGATTGCTCTTAGAGCAAAGTGCCTTAAACAAAAGTTGAATGGAACTGAACGAAAAAATATATCAAAAAAAGTTGCCACGTATATATATGTATATATTAGTGTACCTTTATATGACAAAAATAGGTAAAATATCAGAGCTGATGGTCATCATTCCAAGCATTTTTTAATGTTGTTAGAAACCCCTAAGAGTGGACTATATTTTTACCTTTAGGTTAGCTTTGAAAGTAAATCATTTCCATTTCTATCTGAAATGGATCAGAAGAGTGAGAAAAAAATCGAATCAATCAGATTGATCAATTCAATCAATTACACATCACTTATTAATTAAGGTTAGGTAGGTATTGTATCTTCTATGATCCTCTAGGGCCATGATCTCCTCTACAGTGAGGCGCTTTATCCCCCCAGGGGGTTGAGCGATTGTAGGTTGGGGCGGAGCATGGTTAGCATTCATAGCCTTCTTGGCTGCAGCTTTCACCATATCATACTCAGGAGTTCCCCTGAAAAGCAGTGACTGGTTCTGGTTCATGCTGATAGCCATCTCCATCTCCATGAACAACTCAATCTTGGACAGGTAGAGGATAGATTCCTCCTTAGACACAAACTCGAAGCGTTTAGTGGAGATGATCATGTATTCCCATATACTGGGCTCTCCTAAATGATTATTAGATAAGGTATGTCCTATCTATATAATCTATATTGTTAAAGTTTTATATCTATAAGTTTATAATAATACTTTATCTATATTGGTTTATATAAAAAAACAGAAACAGACTTACCACGGGAGGGAGTAATAGCCCAGACTTCTTCCCAAAAAGTTTTCCATTGCTCCGTCTCCACATAGTCTTTAGCATTATCTAATGATATATTAACCCCCCTACTGGCCATATACTTGACAGCACATACCCTCCTGATGAACTCTAGGTGTTCAGGACTGAGTGCTTCATCGAGTTTAATATCTACGTTAACATTTAACTGGTGCTATGGAAACGCCTCAACACGGAAACGTCTCAACGCGGAAATGCCTCAAAAACCGGTTTTGAGGAATTTCCGTTTTTTTTTGGGAAATCCCTCAAAACTGGAAAATGTTGAGGGATTTCCGAATATTTTTGAGGCGTTTCCTAATATTTAAAGTTGAGGTGTTTCCTCTTTTTTTTTGAGGCGTTTCTGTAGTGTAGTGTAGTATAGTGTAGTGTTGTGGCGCCCCTGAATTCCTGGAATACAATTCACAACAATTTGTTTGTTATTGTTTAGATTATGCATTAGTGTAGTGTAGTGTAGTGTAGTGTAGTGTAGTGTAGTGTAGTGTAGTGTAGTGTAGTGTAGTGTAGTGTAGTGTAGTGAAGTGTAGTGTATGTAGTGTAGTGTAGTGTAAGTGTAGTGTAGTGTATTGTAGTGTTAGACACACAAAATAAGTTGTTATTCAGTCAGAGGGTCTTAAAGAACTGAAGTGCTGAAAGGACATGGAACCATGATGCAATGACATTGACGGTGTTTCTTCGTAGCAGGGATAGATAATGTCTCCCAAAAAAATTTTAAAAATTTTTCAAAATTTTTTTAAAAACTTTTAACAATTTTTTTGTGAAAAATTTTGAATAATTTTTTTGGGGGGACATTATCTATCACTGCTACGAAGAATGTCACCTAATCCAATCACATTGCTGGGAATTACAATTTCATATATTTCCCATGGTCTTAAACCTTCCCTGATTGGAGGAGACCTTCTGGGCCAGCTTCTTTTCAATGAGGGCCCTCAACTATGATAGCACATGAAAATGAGTCATCCTCATGCAGGCCCGGAAGGAGTGCTCTAAGAGCAAAGTGAAGAAAAGCAAAGTTGTAGAAGAAGGTAAGATCTACTAACACTCCAAAATTTGGACCTCTAGGTTGACCCGTTTGCGCTCGCGCGTGCGTGTCGTCTCGTAACTAACCTAACTCAAATCACCTGTGCAGTGCCTAAAGGAGTGCTCTGAGAGCAAAGTGCCAAAAGCAAAAGTTGAAGCCCACGTCAATACCTGTCTGCATATAAAATTTCAACCCTGTAGGTCGACCCGTTCGCGCGCGCGTGCACGCGTAATTTCAACCACTTTTCATCTTTAAATAAAGTAAATGCCGATATCTCTGGAACGAATAGAGATATCAAAGAAATAATTTAGGACGATGTTTCTATAAATAGTAGTGAGCTATAACCAAAATTTCAGCCAAATCTATTTTTTACCTCAAAAAAAAATATCAAGTTTTTTGAAAAATATTTTTGATTTCGCTGAAATTTTGGTTACAGCTCACTACTATATATAGAAACATCGTCCTAAATTATTTTTTAGATATCTCTATTCGTTCCAGAGATAATAGCATTTAAAGATGAAAAGTGGTTGAAATGACGCGTGCGCGCGCGCTCGAACGGGTCAATCTACAGGGTTGAAATTCTATATGAAGACAGGTATGGACGTGGGCTTCAACTTTTGTTTCAGACACTTTGCTCTCAGAGCACTCCTTCATGGCACTGCACAGATGATTTGAGTTGGTTATTTACGAGACGACGCGCGCGCGCGATCGCGAATGGGTCAACCTAGAGGTCCAAATTTTGGTGTGTAAGTAGATCTTACCTTCCTCTACAACTTTGCTTTTCTTCACTTTGCTCTCAGAGCAATTCTATGTTTCGTTCCTACCCAGATTTTGTACTGAGACATAAATAGTTCACTTACATACTTCAAGTCAATCTCTGAATCTGCGGTTCTTGTCTTTTTGTTATAAAATCGTCATTTTTGACGTTTTTTAACATTTTTTTTTAGAATATGAATCAGCTGGAGTAGAGGAATTTAAAACTGGTTTCGATTTTTTGATAGCTCAAAAACGGAGGGAGATACAGCCTCCGACCTCCAAATGCTCCGGAGGCTCTGGAGGCCGTATTTTTTGAGCTAGAGGTCTGATTTTTTGCAACGCCCACCATTTTCATATACTTGCTACAATTTTGTATTTGTGAGTTATTGCGATTGGAGGTCGTCTTCATGCTGCAAATCGCGTTTCAAATTTCGTACTTTTTTGAAAAATCGGCGGCCGATTTCTCAACCTAGAGGTCCAAAATTTGGTGTGTAACCATATCTTACATTTCCCTACAACTTTGCTTTACTTCACTTCTCTCTCAGACCACTCTAAGTACATAATCTTGAGAAATCAATCAATCAATACATATTAACTCTGAGCCAAAAGAGCCACTTTTCAAAGTGAGTGGCTCTTCTATGGCTCCCGTTGCTCTTAGAGCAAAACGCCTTTAGTAAAAAATCCGTTTTGGAGCATTTTGGACCGATTTGCCTCAAAAAAAAAAAATGGCTCTTTTGGTCAGACTAGGGTAGCCAATCGGCTCCCATCGGCTCCCGAGGCTGTGGAGGCCGTATTTTTTATGCTATAGGTCCGGCCTCTAAAGAACAATTACTCATAACTGGACTGGCTACAACTTTGAACTTATGTAACATTTTGATTGGAGGTCGTCTTCATGCCGCAAATCAAGATATTAAAAAAATATTGATATTTTTTGGGTACCACCCGCAGGGAGGTCGTCTTAGAGGTCCGAATTTTTTTGAGGGCCACTGTATACGTGCCCCTGGGTTACATATAAAGTTTCAAATTGATCTGAATATTTTAAGTGTGTTTAAAATCAAAAATAAGATCTCCGAACGAATGAATGTGGCTCCCGATGATCTTAGAGCAAAAGTGCTTTAGTAAAAAATCCGTTTTGGACCATTTGGGACCAATTTGCCTCAAAAAAATGTTGGCTCTTTAGGACAGCCTAGGATGATGGATCCGGATCCGAGGTAACTTTTGATTCTGTGAATCGGATTTTCCCTATTAAATGTTATGCAAGGTAATAATTTATAAACTATATTTATTATATATTCCGAAACCGGGGGAAATGTAACAAAAAAAATTTATATTATAAATGTAAACATTAAATTATTAAAGATAATTTTGAAAAATTTTCGTCATGTAAAAAATAATGCATTTATGAACTATTTTGATTTATTAATTCCATGGTTTTGGTTAATTTTTGGAGCTACCCGGATCCATATCAACGTTTCCTGACACGGATCCGACCAAATGATACGGATCCGACCGGATCCGGATCCGAAACACTGAAAATTAACATCAACAAATAAATAATGGTTATTCTATTTTATTGTGGAAATTAAATTTTAGCTTTACCAGATAAGAGGCCCTGGGCCAGTTGTTCTTCGCCTCCCAATCATGGTCCCGTTGGATAGTCAATTTGTCTCCTGGCTCAACCTTAAAATTACATACTTGTAACTTTTGTAATTTGGGTCTGTCCTAGTATTCGATTTATTTGCAACATAAAATCAATGACTGTTTTATGACTTTATGGTTAGGCTAGTAGGACAATTTCTAGGCCCAGGATTTCGGATAGGACAGTCCAGAAGGCTTGGATCTGCCCGTGTGTTATATCATTACATGTGAAATGCAAAAGGGTGAGTGTTTTCAAAAATTCAATGTTAGGAAATACCGATAATAATTTAGTTGTATAATATTTTAGACCCCCACCCCATTTAGTTTCTGACATGCCGATGTCGAACAACAAACGTAGATAAAGTATATATATATATATATAATTTGTTTGTCTGTTTTTCTTCAATTTATTGGTGTGTACCCAATTAACGTCAAAACGGATGAACCGATTGAAATCAACGTGTGGGACCTCACATGACCCAGGGGACGGTTTTATTCCTTGAAAAATAGAATTTTTAAATTTTAAATTTCCCATTTCTAATAGAAAAATTCATCAAAATATTAGACTGAATACACAAAGTATTTAATTGAGACAAATTCACAAAACCCTATGCAAAGGTTAAATACATAAATGGTTACAAGAATTTTTAACAAAAAAAATGAGTTTTTTTTTAGGAATCTAAAAATTAATAAAAAATTATGTACAAAATTGACAGGAGGGGGGGCGCCAGGGGGAGGGGGTCCGAAATATCTCATACTTGTAAATTTTAGGGGGTTTTCTTAGAGAACGATTTATTAACCAGTTAAATCATCAAAATTATAATTAAAAATTTTGTATTATTTTAGAGTTAGAAAACTAGGGTCTGTCATAGTGAACTATTTTTGGACCCCCCCCCCCCCTCTGAGGCTGGCTAAACCATCCTAATTCCTTCGAGTACAGCAATTTGGACGACCCACCCAAATTGTCAGGAAGAGTCCCTTTAAAAACTTTGAACTTTTAGAATAAGCGTGATACGAGCCTGGTATGAGTGAGCGCAAATGAATAGAGGACCCGCGAAGGAGCGGTGGACGAGTAAAGCGCGGCACTAAGTTTTCATCGGGCCCTGTAAGGCCTATAAGCCTTCACTTCCATTTAGTCCGGCATTCGCAATAGTAAACTTAAATATTCCGTTTATTTCAGATAAAATGATAGAAGATGGGAGTTTTTTGATTGGAGGGCTTCCAGATGAGATTGTATGGATTCTAATAGAATTTGGAATCTATCCAATTTCTATTTTGTTTAGATACCAGTGAACAAGCCCTGGATTGTGGAGAGAGATATGTTGATCAATGGCTCATGGATGCTCAATCCAAAAGTCTAGATACTCCTGAGGTCAAAGATAATCCTGAGGTCAAAGATCTCCTAAGGTCGAAGGTACTTCTGAGGTCAAAGATACTCCTGAGGTCAAAAATACTCCTTAAGTCGAAAAAACTCCTGAGGTCAAAGATATTGTTACATAAATCTAAAGCGTGGGTTCTCTTAAAGTATGAATTCTAAAGCTCCACGCTTAACCTTCAAACAAAATACTTAGCCTTACCTTTCAGCAGACAAAGAACCCTACATCCACATAAAAAAACAGATATTTCTGGATCAAACAAACATCAAATACAAAAACATAAACTTTATTATATTTTTCACAAAAACTAAAAGATTTAAAAAACTGCACCAATTCTATTTCGTTTATTAAAATAACAAATTGTAATTATATGATTAATTAAATTTATGTATTTTTATGTAACCCCTGCACTGGCTCCCTGGCTATTCAAAGAATGCAAGTTTGGTAAACCAGACCTTGAACAAAACAGGCAACCTCAATCCTGCAAGACAAACCGACAAGCAGTTCAAATCAGAATATGAGCTAGAGAGGTTTCCTCAAGTCTCCACAAACACAACCTATTTGACTCCCGTTCGAAAATACATTATTCTAAAAGTTCTTTATTGGCTCTTTATTGGCTCAACTCCTGAAGTGGAAGATACTCCTGAGGTGGAAGATACTCCTGAGGTCAAAGAAACTCCTGAGGTGGAAGATACTCCTGAGGTGGAAGATACTCCTGAGGTGGAAGATGCTCCTGAGGTGGAAGATGCTCCTGAGGTGGAAGATGCTACTGAAGTGGAAGATACTCCTGAGGTCAAAGATACTCCTGAGGTGGGAGATACTCATGAGGTGGGAGATACTCCTGAGGAGGGAGATACTCCTCAGGTGGAAGATACTCCTCAGGTGGAAGATACTCCTGAGGTGGAAGATGCTATTGAGGTGGAAGATGCTCCGGAGGTGGAAGATGGTCCTGAAGTGGAAGATACTCCTGAGGTGGGAGATACTCATGAGGTGGGAGATACTCCTGAGGTTGAAGATACTCCTGAGGTGAAAGATACTCCAGAGGCTAAAAATACTGCTCAGGTTGAAGATACTCCTTTGATGCAGGTATACAATTTTGAAGGGTAAATAATCAAATTTCATATTAAACTCTTATATCTTGAATATGGTGTTCAATTGGACATTTAATAATTTCGCATAGAACAAAAGAAGTTTATAGAAACATGGAATTCTGAATTTAATGAGACACTCTTTTAAAGTTGTCATTAAAGTTTCATCCCCATTGCTCTTTATCATAGTATTTATCCTTTTCTTGATGAATCAAATTACTCCCAAAATCTGAACTATGAACTATGAACTATGAACTACTCCTGAGGTGGAAGATACTCCTGAGGTGGAAGATGCTCCTGAGGTGGAAGATATTCCTGAGGTGGAAGATGATCCTGAGGTGGAAGATATTCCTGAGGTGAAATATACTCCTGAGGTGGAAGATATTCCTGAGGTGGAAGATATTCCTGAGGTGGAAGATACTCCTGAGGTCAAAGAAACTCCTGAGGTGGAAATTACTCCTGAGGTGGAAGATGCTCCTGAGGTGGAAGATGCTCCTGAGGTGGAAGATGCTCCTGAAGTGGAAGATACTCCTGAGGTGGAAGATACTCCTGAGGTGGAAGATACTCCCGAGGTCAAAAAAACTCCTGAGGTGGAAGATACTCCTGAGGTGGAAGATGCTCCTGAGGTGGAAGATACTCCTGAGGTCAAAGATACTCCTGAGGTGGGAGATACTCCTCACTGTCTCACCAACGCTCACTCATACTAGTATGAAGGGAGAGAGAAGGGGGAGATTGGTATAAGTTTGAGGGAGATGACAGGGACGCGGAGGACCTACAGAGGGGCTTATTATTAACTGAAGATCGTCTTTTAATGTGAAAATAATCCTAATAAATGTTTTAATAGGGAATAAGTCTTTAAATATCGTCTTTGCATCTAGCATGTAGAATACAGTCACAGAGTACAGAACACAGATACAAAATACGGAATATTCTGTATTGTGCATTCTGTATTCTGGATTCTGTATTGTGCATTCAGTATTGTGCATTCTGAATTCTGCATTCTGTATTATGCGTTCTGTAATCTGTATTCTGCCTTCTGTATTGTGCATTCTGTATTCTTCATTCTGTATTATAACATCTGTATTCTTAATTCGGTATTCTTAGTTCTTTATTTTGAGTTCTGTATTCTTTATTCTTTATTATGTATTCTGCATTCTGTATTCTGTCTTCTGCATTCAGAATTATTACTTCTATGTTACTTATCCCATATTTTGAATTCTCTATTTTGAGTTCTGTATTCTGTATTTTGTATTATATATTCTGTATTCTGCTTTCTGTGTTCTGCATTCTGTATTTTGCATTTTATATTGTGCATTCTTATTCTGTATTCTGTATTCTGCAATCTGAATTCTACATTCTGTATTATGCATTCTGTAATCTGTATTCTGCCTTCTGTATTGTGCATTATGTTTTCTGCATTCTGTATTCTAACTTCTGTATTCCTTATCCTGTATTCTGAATTCTACATTATGTATTATGCATTTTGTAATCTGTATCCTGCATTCTGTGTTCTGCATTTTGAATTCTGCATTCTGTATTAGGCATTCTGTAATCTGTATTCTGCCTTCTGTATTGTGCATTCTGTGTTCTGCATTCTGTATTCTAACTTCTGTATTCCTTATCCCGTATTCTGAATTCTACATTCTGTATTATGCATTCTGTAATCTGTCTTCTGCATTCAGAATTATAACTTCTATGTTCCTTATCCTGTATCTTGAATTCTTTATTTTGAGTTCTGTATTTTGTATTATGCATTCTGTATTCTGCATTCTATATTCTGCATTCTGTATTCTGCATTCTGTATTGTGCATTTTATATTGTGCATTTTGTATTGTGCATTTTGTATTGTGCATTCTTATTCTGTATTCTGTAATCTGTATCCTGCAATCTGTAATCTGTATCCTGCATTCTGTAATCTGTATCCTGCATTCTGTAATCCGTATCCTGCAATCTGTATCTTGCTTTCTGTGTTCTGCATTCTGAACTCTAACTTCTGTGTTCCTTATCCCGTATTCTTTATGTATTTTGTCATCTGTATTCGTATTCTTTATTTTGTATTTTGCATTCTGTATTCTGAACTCCATTACTCTTAATTATATATCCGCTTTTCTGTATTCTGATTGTTAGGTAAAAGACAAAGGCAAATTGAATTGCGACATTTCAAAGTCGACCCAATTAAACGCAACTTTCATAACATTCCAGATCAGTGAATAACAAATGCAGGAAATGGAACTCGTAAAACGGGATCTAGGTTAAGAGACTACAGAACGTCAAAGATAAAATGTTTACAGAATACCAAAAATTCCATAACAAAATGCAGAATCTAGATAAACTAACATAGACACAATACAGACTTCAAATACCAAGAGACATAAGAAAAAACGTTTTAAAAAATACAAGTGTAAAATCCAAATAATTTTAAGATTTCAAAATGTGAGCCTTTAAAGTTTGAAACTTATGCAAGATTTTCAGAATTTAAATTTGAAACACTTCGAAAAAAGTAATTTACATGAACTTTATTTTAAAAGGAAATTGTCCAATTTAGATTAAACATTAATATTAACATAGTGAAATGAAACCTTATTCAGTTTAGAAACTATAACGTCAAACTAAAGTAAAATGCGAATAACATTAAATTTGTTTATACTTTTTTTCATACCTTTTTTATTGAAGAGATATTGAAAAGAACAAACACGTTTTGAATTTTTGAGATGTAACTGAATAAATGTTGCTTTTATTACACATGTGCGAAAAATCAGACATAGACGAGCTACAAAGTTGTAACAGTAATGTAACTTGAATTTGACCTTCTCCTCCTGGTTTACAGTGCTATGTAGACAATAGAGATTACAAATTCTTTTCCAAATTATTCTGATCTAACAAATAAATTTGAAGACACTTTTAAAAATTTATTTATAAATAAGTAATATCAAATCAAATCAAATAGATATTAAAATAATTCTACAGGGGTATACAGGGGCGGATACAGGGGGGGGCGGGGGGACATTCTCCCCCCCCTTGAATTTGGAATTTTTTGTTCCTATTTTCAGAACATCTTCTCTAGCATGCTTTAGGGAAAGAAACCCTAGTGCAAAACAGGAAAAATATCTTTCTTTATAAACTATAATGTGTGAAAAGTTAAAAGTCTAGTTTTTAGTCTAGACATTAATTTTGACTCTTTTTGAGTATTTTAAGTCAAAATAAATTTTCGCCTGCGTCGCGATTTTTTGTTCCTTATTATGAATTTTTTTGTTCCTAAAAAATCTTGCCCCCCCCCCCCACTTAAATCCTGTATCCGCCCCTGGGGGTATATTCAGAGATACAGAAAACATAGAACTAGGATATTTTTAAAATTTTTGTCAAAATCAATTAAAAATTTGTAAATCGAAAAAAGCATGTTTACAATAAGAACTTAATAAAAGTCGTCTGCATTGTTATAAAAAAAAATGCTTGTCACAGTAAATGATATTTTTTAAATTTTTGTCAAAATCAATTAAAAATTTGTAAATCGAAAAAAGCATTTTTACAATAAAAACTTAAATTTAAAAGTCGTCTGCATTGTAATAAAAAAATGCTTGTCACAATAAATAATATTTTTTAAATTTTTGTCAAAATCAATTAAAAATTTGTAAATCGAAAAAAGCATTTTTACAATAAAAACTTAAATTAAAAAGTCGTCTGCATTGTTATAAAAAATGCTTGTCACAGTAAATAATAATATTCAGGGATTCATGGGTATATCATTCAAGGGATACGGCGGAACTTTTAAATTTAAGTTATCAAAGTTGAAACGGATTCGGTCTTTGATAAGATTGTAGTTAGTTATTCCAATTTCAGACTTCTCCAGAAAGTCGAGAATTTCCTCCTTGGTGGTTTTATGGTCTCTTTCCGGATGTTTTTGGAAAAACTTCGTCAAGAATATTAAAACAAACATAAGTAAAATTATTTTATTTTTAATTTAAAAATGCCAACCCATTAAACTTAAAATGAATAGGTAGACAAAAGTACGATTTTCAAGCAAAATAGGTTAATTGTTTTGCAAAAATTTTGCATTTTGTGCATTTCGTTTGCTCGAAAACAAACTAATTTTTTTTTGTTTTTTTTTCGCAAAATTTTGCTTTAATCTGTTAAGATTATTTTTTTCGCAAAAGTTTTTGTTTCCTGGAAACCCTAGGAAAAAGGGACTAGGCATTATAATTTTTGTCACTATCACCTTGACGTTTTTTTACTTTTAATAAATAGTAACAAAAGTTTTTTTGGTATTTAAAACAAAACAAAAAGTAAATTAATAGTTTCAATAACCTTTTTCATTTTTCACGATCACTCCCATTAAAATCAGCAAAACTACAATTAAAATCTGTACTGTATATAAAATTGCCCCTTCATTAAAAGAAAATAAATATTAATTTTCAAATGAAACTTTTTAGCACATTTATTCTGAATTATAGTGGTAGACGATTATATCAAAAAATGAAGGTGAATTTTGATTTCAATTTTTTCATGGATACATAAAATATAGATGTCAAGAGAAGATGTAAGTTAAAAAAGATCTCTTTGGTTACTTCTAAACTTGTAATTTGAAAAAAGCATGTTAACAATCAAAACTAAAATAAAAAATTTGTCTTCTTTGAATTGATATAATCGCTTTCCACTGTATATGTATAACAATCATCCTAAGTCAAACAAAGGTTTTACGGGTAAAGTATGGATCAGTAACATTTTGTATAGAACATTTTCGTATAGTAACATTTGGTCTAGGTAACATTTCGTATAGGTTACATTTTGTCAAGATAACATTTGGTATAGATAACATTTCGTATAGGTAACACTAAGGGTAATTTTTCGTATAAATGTAAAAATAAAGATGAAAAATGAAACACCAAATATCAGCTTTTTTTGTAAATATATTTAATGTACATGTTCATTTTTTGGCAGTTTAATTCATTTTCCGATTTTTGAAGTTCATGAGTCACCTGCTGCAGATATTCCTTGTCAGGCAGAATGTCAAATTCTTTAGCAGGTAACTTAAGACATTGATGATTGGCCATAGTTCTCTCCTTCCTTTCTGTATTTTGATGCAGATCCTGTCCAATTGCATTCGACAACAGGATTCTTCTAGACTTGGACTCTGTCTTGATAAAGGCATCTATTACTCCAGTACTATTAATGGTATATTTATGATAGTTATCAATTATTGCATCCTTTCCACAAGTAGAGACATGGTTGAGGTTTTTGTTATTTTGCGGATTTCTTTAAATGGTTCGCAGTTTTCATAGTGAAATATTCATGGTTTCTTACAAAAATATCTCGATGTTCTTTAATTTTTACGTTTATACAAAAAATTACTATGGATGTTACCTATACAAAGTTACCTATACCAAATGTTATCTATACGAAATGTTACCTATACGAAATGTTACCTATACAAAATGTTACCTATACCAAATGTTAACTAGACAAAGTGTACTATACAAAATGTTACTAAACGAAAATGTACTATACGAAACGTTACTAATCCTAAAGTAGTCTTCAGTCTGTCTTTAGTCTGTCTTCAGTTCCTCAATATAAGCTTACCATCAATGACTGCCTTGTTGGCT